TGTAAGCAAAATGTTTCGATGAGCATTGACGTAATAAGACTAGTACTAAGCTGAACAAATGTGTAACGTACTCCTAGTCAGATCACCGATGATGCACACGTTCCAGTTTGTCCACAAAAACTGATTTTCCTGGATTAATATGTGGAAAATGTAATAGTAGTCTATTGATTAAATTGCATTTGGTCTTTCCTTACATATTTTCCCTTAAATAAACTATACATCTCACCGTGCATCTACTATTCTGACGATTTTCATGTTGCGGTTCTTTAGACATTTTCTTCCCCAGAATAAATGAATATTTTCTTCAGAGTTTCCGTGGTCATCCGGCGCTACAGTCTACAGCATTGGTACTGTTAAGATTCTCGTAGTTTCTTGTAGACACAATTGCATTTGAAACCTCTGTTTGAAATGTCATCTCTTATCTTTTTACTTAGTAAAATGTATGTGGATCCGACATATTATATAGGATCATTTATCACTTTGTTGCGCATGTCTGGATAAACCTTTGCTGTCACTGTAAGCACATAATGACGCATTGCACTTTAAGGTCATCCCGTTTCTGATGACCTGTAGACTTACCACTTGGAATTAAAATCGTGTCTCAGCACCCATTCCAACAGTCACCACTCCAATCACAACAATCCTATTTTAGACACTCTTATAATTCCAGTGACCCCTCGGACACTAGAACTCTGGAATTATGAATAACCAAGTTTACTTAAAGTTACCCACTGACATTTCCATGGAGGTGTTTTTCAAAACACCTTATGCTATTTCACGGCCACATTACTTCAGACCATTCAATTGGATCATGAAGCTCATTCGGACCTGACTTTAGTGGAAATAATTCACCTTAAACAAATCCTAAATATGCTTCCAAATCAAAGCACTTTTATCGAGCAAGTGCAGCAAAACTTGGACGAAGGCACCACTGCAGGTGACTATATGAAAACAAGATATCATAAAGCCAATCGGTTCACCTATCTGTTAACCACTTCTCAGACTATTATTTTAGTAAACAACATTTGATGAACATGATTGCTACCAAATTCAATATCGTGTTTGGCAAAGTGGCATGGAATGGATACTTATCCTTACATTGTACATTGAAAATCTCTTGACGTACGGAAAAGAGGCCAAGAACACTCATATGGATGCTTGCGTGGTTTGGAAACCTGACACCGCAGGTGAGGACAAGTTTAACAATACAGCCCTGACACCAGATGACGATCCTCACATTGTCGGCATTAACGACCGTCGAAATAAAATCATACTAGGCCGTAGTTTAGTTCTTTGATGGAAAATTGAACAGTGTATGTCTTAGAGAACGGATACAAATTGACAAATTACAAAAAGAACTTTTATTATTAGGTCAAATAAATGAAAAAGTTTAAATATATTGATCATATATATATATATATATATATATATATATATATATATATATATATATATATATATATATATATATATATATATATATATATATATATTCGGTGAAAATACACACACAATAATGCGCACACCAGTAGTTTTCTTATACTCCGGATTAGGATTCCCGTATTCCACCCCCCTCTTTCTATATTCTCTCTCTCTCTCTCTCTCTCTCTCTCTCTCTCTCTCTCTCTCTCTCTCTCTCTCTCTCTCTCTCTCTCTCTCTCTCTCTTTCTCTCTCTCTCTCTCTCTCTCTCTCTCTCTCTCTCTCTCTCTCTCTCTCTCTCTCTCTCTCTCTCTCTCTCTCTCATCTGTGATTTTTGGCAATATAGAATCCTTTATAAAGCCTTAATTCATATGCAAAGATACAACAACAGTAGATCACTTATATAACACGAACAGTACTGAACATTGCCAATTCGGGTCTAACAACAAGCGAAGTAGATTAATTAGAAATTATTAATGGTATTGGTATAATGAATATGCTTGATGTTGCTATATCGGATTGACTTGGGAAAGATAGAGGAATATTCTGATCAATAATTTGGTAATTCAAGACAAATTAAGATAAAACGGCAGTTGATCCAGCTATTAAGATTCACATGAAAACAGAACAACAGAAATGTCAAGAAAAAAAAAACAATATATATATATATATATATATATATATATATATATATATATATATATATATATATATTGTACGATAACATTTCCGTTATTAGATAAGAAATTTTGCAGAATATTTATAAACAGAGAACAGTATGTGTTAAAAGACTGTGGTACTACTTGGACATAACACGATTTGACATTTAGCACTTAAAGGTGATATCAGGCTGTGAGACTAGTTACACATACAATAATCAACATTTAACATCAAATGGGTGATGAGATGGTATGGGATTAGTTTGCACATACAAGAATGAACATTTGACACCAGATGGATGAAGAAAACTCCTGTTCTGGTGGCATATATAAGAATCAACATTTAACACCAAATGTGGGAAACAAGAGCTTAACAAAAAACGAATTAAATAGCGAATTAATGACTTTTTAAGTGTATCTATTATGTTGATTACATAAGATTGAATTTTGTCCATGCATCAGCGAACGCCAATGAATTTTTTTAGCAATGTCTGCAACATCCGTCTCTTCTTAGAATAATTTGATCATTATCAATAAACACATTTAATCTTCATGTAGGAAGCATAGGTGTCAGCACATAGTGGCAAGAGTGTGTGTGTGTGTGCATATGCCCCACTCTCTGATATCACCTCTAAACTTGTTTTGGTCTACATACATAAACCATTATGGCTTATATGTTTGTTTTGGTGCCACAGAGGAAAAAAAAAAGATATTCAAGCTGAAGAAAATATACATAGATGGAAGACTTGATATAAAATTTTCACATACTCAGAACGTTTTATGTTCACCAATATCATGGCTAGTACATGAGACAGTGAATGAAATATTTTTAGTCATATTTAAAGGGTCTTCCAACAAAAGTCATGTCTCCTCAAGTCAAATATGTTACAATGTCAGTAAGGTTGTCTATTAAGCAAAGATTGCTATGAAGGGTATAGGTATAAAGAGATGATGTAATGGCACAAATGTAAACGTACGATATAATGGTACGGTATGTTTTCTTCTCGACTTGCCCTTTTTAGTCACGAGTTTCTCGAAATCGGCTAGACGAATTTCTTTTAAATTTTCTCTGCTGTTAGAAAAGGATCTTATGTGGATACTATACAAGAGGCATTGAAATCAAAATTGTCTAAGTAAGGGTTCCATGAGCTCAAACTATGAATATATCGGATTCCCATGGGCGCGCTTTTCATAGCCGGTACCCCTAAGGCGCCCCTTATTAGGCCGAACCAACTTGACGTCAATCATTAACCACCAGCCTTCGCGCAAAGGTCAACCTACCAATCCTCTTAGTAGTACAAATAGACAGCTTCCTGCCTTTGGGTAGTGAATAAAACTGATGCAATACCCCAGTCTGTCACCAAATATAGTAAATCACAGCTTTTACGTAGTTATATTGGATTTGGGGTGACATTTTTGGGAATAAAATACAGAAAAATGCCAAAGATGAACAATAAGTATAGTGGGTCAAATGGAGTTAAAACAGGAGGAAGGTGTGTATCTAAAATATATATGTAGCTTATGATAAAGGAATTAAAGGAGACAAAAGCAGCAATGAGAAAAATAAGAAGTGAAAAGTTGATGACCTTGCCTTGGACAAATATACGTAGGCAGTGCCCCATAGTGCCAAGGACAGTCCAAAGGCACTGGTGCTGTAACATCCCCTACAGAGGCAACACAATTTTAGGCGAAGTGGTGTTCATTCCCATCTAATATGAAAGGGTAAATAATTTGGATAATATAGGTACATTTAGTTTATATTTCGTCCACATAAGAAATTAACAATAATGATGGCTTGAGTTGAGCAGGCAAGTACCTAAACCAAACGAAACATACTTTATCAGCTTTTAAACTTGTTAACTTTCCTGTAAAAAAATTATTAAATTGCTTCTTCTTACATTTGTATCAAGACTCAGGGCTGATACAATGCTTCCCAAATCATCTATTTATTTTCATAACCAATCACTGAAAATGTGAGTTTTTATATTTTGAAATGTTATGTCTAGTGTAAGTGAGATAACTGAATAAAATAGATAAGTTGTGGTGTTTGTATCCCCTCCAATATTCTATCCATGTAATATAGAAGTGTTCATGAGCACATTCATTAACTTCAATCCAAGTAAATTATCCACAAATACATTATTGATAAGTGAGAACCTAAGATTCAAGCTTTTTTATGTAGTGGACACCTCATGAGTGATGTAATTTGAGTTGAGACTGCATGATTATTTCAAATAGTTCATGTTCTCTACAATGCCGTCATGTGAAGTGCAGACTTCAATAAACATGCAGATATGATCCCATGCCAGTTTGAATTCTTGCAATGGGATGCAAAGTTTGAAGAACAGTGTAGACTTAAATGGAAGAAATGGGCCATATGTGGCTAATATGGTGATCACTCAATGTTTGACGTAACATGGAAATTACAAATGAGTAGCTGGACAGAAATAACTAGAATTAATTGAAAGTCATTAGTAGGTTATAATTGGGTTTATACAAGTATCAATAGGAAATGCTGACTTAAAGAAACTGTTCTTCTCTTTTAGTATTAGTATTCCCTGCAACTTCAACAAAGGGAATGCCAATAAACTTATCTAAATAAACTGCTTGAACCATTTCAAGGCAGGACAACTTGTACAAAAATGAACAATTAGAGCAGGACAATTAAAATCAAAGTGGGAAGGAATACAATATCTTTAATAAACTACCTAATATTAATCATACCAGACTATCGTTAATGATCTATTTACAAGTGAACCTAGAGTGTTCTCTACATTAGTTTAAGTCATGCCTTACAAAACCAAGAAAGTTGGGGAGGGTATACATGATTTATTGTGTTTTTCAGGTAAAATAATTAATATTTAGCCAACATCAACTATATTATGTTTACATAACTTATTTTGCTAAATGTATGCCTAACCGCTACGGTGGCTTAGTGGTTAAAGCGTCCGCCTCGGATGCGGGAGGTCGTGGGTTCGATACCCGGTCGAGTAATAAAAGACTTACAAAAATGGTACTAATAGCTACCTCGTTTGGCGCTCAGTATTAAGAGGTTAGTGTTAGGACTGGTGGGCCTGGTGTCAGGATAGTGTGACTCGGTGGGACATCATGCTACATATCTGCGGCATGATGCCCCATTGCTAGACATCACTATAAACTGCCACACTGCAGACATTGTAGCGATATGACTAAAAACTTGTTAAAGCTACGTTAAAAATCATAATCACATCACATCACATATATGCCAGTCTGAGAGCTGACTACACATACATAAAGCCTTCAGGCAATACAAGTCTATGTCTGTCATAGCTATAGTTATCAAAAGCCACCATCCAAAGTCAACGTGTGCTATGTTCGGAACATTTCATACATTTTATTCTTATCAGACTGTCACTATATGACTAGAAATGTTCAGCATCCATTTGTTTTCCTACCTCAAACTAGTACATTTTATAAATACCGCCTACTTGTATGTGTTTCTATGGCTTACTATGGAGGCTGTTCTTCCCATTAGGCCTCACGGTACCAATTGTTTATCCATAGACCTCAACGCTAATGTTTTGTGAACTAAATATACTTTCTATCCTTCCGCAGCATGCATGTCACCCACTGACCCAGAGAACAATGTTAGATTGTCAAGTTGATAAGGACAGAACCAGGTACTCCATTGCATTTAAAAGAGATAACTCAGTTGGAACTAGACAGGGGTAAGAGGCATCTAGTTATACCAGACACATTTTCAGTCATGTGTACCATATTTTAAAAAATCATAAAAATACCAAATGTGATATAGTTATGAATTAACATAATCTCACATGTTGCCAAGAAGCTCAACATGTTTTTAAGCCTAACAGAATGTACAGCTCTTACATAATGCACCAGGTAATTATGTTGTTTATTTCTGAATGTAATGTTCCCTGCACCTTAAGTTCCGCCCTCCTGGTGTTAAACAATTGGTACCGTTATAAAATAACATTGAGCTAGTTACTGCTGGTTTCACTTTCATGTCAATCTTGAATTTGTTTATCATTGAATCAGTTCCTTTTTTAGCTCCGAACTTTGACATATGTTTAGTGTAACAGCGCCAGATGCGACCGTTCGTTCTAAGCGCGTGATCAGCCTATATTTATCAGGGTTTATTTACTACAGTTAGCTATGAAACGGGTATGGTTAATCTGAAATAGTACCGAAACTCGAGGGCAAGGCATGTAAACAGGATGATGGTTTTTGAGATCAGTAGGCAGGATGTCCCTTGATATTCTTGCCATTCTATTAGTGGCGTTAAGTTCATTTATATATCTATGTTTGGCTTATAATCTATGTATCTTTATTTTGTACTTGACATGTGCAGATAATTCTCATCTACTGTTGATGATAATAAAATTTGGAATGTTTACTATTATAATTTATTTGCTTTTTAAACTTGATTGATTTTGTTCTTGCCTTTTTGTTAGTTTATTACAATTAGAGTGTTTATAGAACTGAAATCGTCTTCACTGTTTTTGTCTAGTACTTCAGGGAACTGCAAAAAAGTTAAATAATATTATCTAAAGAGGAAATCGGGAGTCATACCTTTGACACGGTGCATAGATAGACCGGAAAGCACAGGAAAACCGAGAGTGATGCCTTATTATAGTTTTGGCGGCGTTTTATGGCATGTAAGAACAACATGTCACTTGATTGATAGAACTTAGTTTATCATAGAACTATTGACAAAATCATGCTTTAAATATTAGACTTTATAGTATATAACGTTATTTTCCGGCAGCCTTTTGCGGACGTGTTTCTCTGCAGATGAGGAATAACTTGCTACGTGAATCGAATTTAAAAAATTTCTTTATCTTAGAAATATTGGCTATTTGAGATGCTTTCCAGGAGCTATTACATGTTTTCCGGCAGCTTTTTTAGGCCGTGTTTCTAAGCACTTTAGTAATAGCACTGTGTCAATCAAACCTAAAAATCAAGGCAATAATAAATGCTAAAAATATTTAAATTGCCTAAGTTCAAGCATTGAAAAGCAATGCATGTTCATTTACATCTAATTATAATATGTGAGAAAGCTTGCCAGTAGCTTCTCGTGGGTAGGTGGTTCTTTCCGGTGATTTCCAGGTTTCTTCCTCCACCATTAATACTGGCCGCCATGAATAGCCTATCGTGTGCTGAAAAATGGCGTTAAGCCCAACAACAACAACTACATCTAATTATAAAGGTAATTCGAGGGATGAAAATTTGTGACTTTTACATTACTGGCTATTTTAAAATATGGTCGCATTTTGTCATCAGTCTTCTCGTATTAAGTGTAATCAGTAAAAAAAATGACTTTACTTTTTATATTAATCTTGAATCTAGTATAATCTAACAAAATGAATATCTACATACTAAAACTGCAAGTGTTTGTTTAATATTATAATGTCACTATTTATTAACAATGTATGCTTGAATCAATACATAAGTCTGTTTCATGGGTGAAATTTTAAAATATTACTGAACCCTGTTTCGGAGGTTTTCAGATTATAATAAGTGCAGCGCATGAAGTGTTATTGACTGGACTGGAGGCAATCTGAAGAAAAGACGGAGCATTTTTATTAGAAACCATTTTGCAATAGGAGAGGTTTTGTGCTTTTCTGTCGGGGAGAGTTTACATTGAGACTTTTTAACCTGATTTTAGGAAACTCTGATATGAGAGAGAGAGAGAGAGAGAGAGAGAGAGAGAGAGAGAGAGAGAGAGAGAGAGAGAGAGAGAGAGAGAGAGAGAGATAACTGGATTAACTTGATTAACTTGATTTACAGAGTGACTCCATGATGACGCCAATTGCAAGTGTTTCTTTCATTCCATAACTGTCCAGGTAGATTCTGGACTGAGGGTATTAATTACATGAATGAAGTAGAACCAGTCTAGAAATGGGGACCATTTTAGAAATACGAGAATATGAAGGAATATATATGGGCTTGACTGGCCAGTATTGGTTAATAATGAAAGTAAAACCTTAGGATATTTCGAGAGTTGATCTTCGTTGTAACTAAGAAAACAAAGCAATATTTTGCTGATGGAATTTCAATTCTTTTTTATAACTTCAGGTTGGAAAACTCATTCCTGAAACTAGCGCCTTACTCTTTGGTGAGGACTTGAAAACACGTTTGTCAAACACATTCAGGTAAATCCAGAAACTTCCGCGGCTTATATGGATTTTTCTACACATAAGCTGCCATCAAGGATGAGTCGTTGCTCATAAATATAAGTTTGATCACGAACATTCAGCAATATAAAGTTATTTAATTTTTTACACCATGGTGTTTGCATAGGTTTACTATGGAAAATAAACCGGCACCGTGAAACCTCTTAAAAATGTAGCCCTACACTGTGTTCCACATAAGCATGTGAAATTAACTTTATTATAAATTAAAAAGTATGGTTCTAGATGTGGATAAAAAGGAAAATCAATATAATTTGTCCTTCTCGGTGTGACTGTCAGTGGAATATCAAACGCACTTTCAGATATAGAAAATGTTGCCATGAAAGGGTATGAGGTGCATTGTGATAATGCTGATTATAGGAAATTTTGCACATTAGGTAATGAAACCCAATATATAAAGTTTAGACCATTTTCTACTTAAAGAGTAATTATGGTAACAAATCTGATATTCCCAATTGTGTTTTGTAACACTGCTTTAGATATGATTACTTAGGCCTATACCATCATGGTTAATGTTGATGACCACTCGTGATTTTATGTCCCACCAATTTCATTCAGTGAATGTTTCACAACTTTATATTTTGTATTGCATCTGGCTTATGACAACATTACTTTTAGTTTTGAATTATACGTGTTCTTGGAGAATTTTAGGTAACTTTTGGTATTTAAATAAATGTTCTCTTTTTGTAGTAATACATGCACATAACGATGTCATAATCACCTTTTGCTAATTTAGTGCATAATATGATCAGGTGGACAATTCATTTTAATCTTATATTTAAGAGAGATAAGTGGTTATAGGAACCACACACACACACACACACACACACACACACACATACACACACGCAGTCTTGTATTTGGTGGATATCGACGACTCGAGTATAGAACCGCCTACCGAGGACGTTTGTTCTGGCGATGTTAGAGAGAAAAGAAACTTGCTTATTTGATATACATATATGTAGCTAATATTATAACTAGGAGAATATACATTTTGCTCATATATGTACCTTATCAAATGACCTTCACCTAATTCCTCTGCAAACTGATTTAGAAATGCTTCATAGTTATATGTCTTTATGCCACGTATGCCTTGGTTTGTATATATTTTGTATACAGCAGGTGAGCATGATGATGATGATGATGATGATGATGATGATGATGATGATGATGATGATGATGATGATGATGCAACATGATACCTACAAGGCTGTACCTGGCCTAGTACGGAACAAAAACGGTTTTATTAACAAGAACCATGCAAAATGAGACACTACTGCTATGAATTTGTTTGACAAATAGGAAATTCCATTCGATGACTCTTAATGAAAAGGTTCAATTTGTGGTTAGGGTCTTTGACCAAGTGTGAATTTTATTGTATAGATCAGTTGAACACAAATAATTAAATTGTCCAGAATGACAAGCTGACAATTGGAAATCAACTGTCCTCACAGAAAATGAACTGGTCTTCCAAATCAAGTAAATATTTATGTGGCCTTGGGCAGACAGTGTTAATTTATCATCGGAGTTTAAGAACTGCAATTAGAAATAGCTTTAATGGCTATCTGCATGAATTATATCATTACACATCACCTGATTAATCGATGCTGAGAACAATGGAGGGGTTAAAGATGTTATATGCTCATAATATGGAGGAGCATATGATGTTATGGTTATGTCCATCCATCCATGTGACTCTTCAATTATAATTTGATTTCATCGTGAGGACTATTACAGATTTTATGCCTAGAATGAAACCAATTGATTTGGTGACCAAAATATCATAGTTAAGATCATAATGA